CCCTTTCCTGGTTCCGCAGATAGTGTTTATAGACATGGCCCAAGCCAGAGCCTTCCTCCAAGTTCCAGGCAATCTCAGACTTTATCATCCATCTGAGAGTCCTCTTATTAACAAACACCTGAGTGTGCCTTTTGCTGTTTGCCATATGATGGCATTTACTTATGCGTTCTGGCATGTGTGCCTGCATCTCAGACTCATTCAGAAATGTTTGATGTTGGTGTATGTCTCTGGCCAGCACAATATAGACTTCATAGTCACAGTTTCAAGTTATGGTTGATCATCTCAAAGGTGGTAGTTAAATGCTTGATCAGTGTTTGAAGAGATTCCCTTTGTGATCCCATCTCTGTTGTTGTCTCTAGTCTACAATGCTTCAGACCTGGGACAGGCAGCACAAGTAGGCAATTTCACCATGCAGGATCATCATTCATTTTTCATAAACATAAGGAAACTCTTGGCATGTCATGTGTTCTGTACCTATCTTGTAGGCAGAGTGGTCCAGATCCTTATGGACAGTACCACTGTGAGGTTCTACATCTTTTTGTCAGCTCATTTCCAGGAGGCCTTCTCTGGGACTTTTGTGTGCAGCATGCCATTCATCTTGTGGCCACACATCTTCCGGGAACCTGGAATGCAGTAGCAGATTTCCTCAGTGAGTCCTTCTTTTCTTGTCACAAGTGGTCACTCCACCCAGAAGTGGTCAGTGTGATCTTCCAAAGGTGGAATACTGCTCAGGTGGATGGACCTGTTCGCATCCAGACAGAACAGAAAGTGCCATTGTTTCTGCCCTCTCCAAGGGCTGGGTGAGGGCCTCTGCCCAACATTTTTATGTGTCTGTGGTCATTGATGCTCCTGTGCACCTTTCTGTCAATTCAGCTGATTCAGAGGATCCTGCTAAAGATCACACAAGACAAAAGTGATTTTCGTAGCTCCGTTGTGGCTGCACCAGAATTGGTTCAGCACGCTGTCAGACCTCTCCGTAGCAACACCATTACAGCTCCTGCTCTGGCCAGACTTAATTTTCCAGAATCACAGCTGATTATTGCATACAAACCTAGTGACCCTGCATAGCTGCTACGTGGCTGAACAGGACAAGTTCTAGCTGTGGCCACACTCAGCTTTTCTGCTAAATGTAGTGTCATCATTCTATGTCTACCAGTCTTCTTTCTGAAGGTTAGTGAGGAATGTAGATTGCCCACCTTGGATTCTCGGTGTGTCTTGGCCTTTTATATTGCAAGAACTAAGCCCTACTGTGAGTTTTATCACAATGGTGGACAGAGTGAAAGGCCAATTGGTTACCCCTGAAAAAATATCTCTGTGGATAAGAGCCTGCATCAGGTTCTGTTTGGAACAGGCAAATATGCCTCTGCAGTTATAACTGCCTATTCCACCAGAGTTCATACCTTGTTGGTGCCTTTCTAGTGCAGATGCTGATTCAAGATAACTGCTGAGCTACTGCCTGGTCGTCTTCAGTCCCTACATTCTCATCCAATTATGGCATCACTCAACAGGCATGGGATGTTGCTGGCTTCGGATCATTGTTGCAAGCTGCATGACCATTAACTCTGCACCCAATTCCAGGAATACTGATAGTGAGTCATCTAGCATGGAATTGACATGAGCAAACACTGGAAGAATAAAAGATGATTACCTACCTTTTGTAACTGTTCTTTGAGATGGTTGCTCATGTGTGTTCCATGACTTGCTCTCCTTTCCCTTTGTCAGAGTAGATGGCAAGAAGGAACTCATATATTAGCATATGATCACAGATACCAGCCCTGCAGATACTGCTAAGACAAAACATTCCAGTGACTTTGCATGTGGACACACCTACCCATAGCATGGAATCAATATGAGTAACAACAGTTATGAAAGGTAAGTAAACCTCTTTTTCATGGCTTTTCTTTTTGAGAGTTTGGTTTTAAAATGGCAGCTGGCCTGCCCCAACACCGTGAGTGGTTTACTTGTTTCAGACCTGTTTAGAAATAAAGCATGATCTATTTTAAGAAATTTTATGCTGTCAGTACATCATATCATACAAACAGGATTTGAGACAATAAAAACATGTTGAGGAGTAATTAAACATTAAAGAGCAAACAGTATTCGTCTATTTGCGGCTCCCCAAATCTGACTTGCATCATATAGTAATCAAGCCTACACCCCTCTCATGCACGGACCCCTGCCAAAAATGAATGAGTCCCTATAACTTAAGCATATTTGTACAGGTACTATTCCCCCTCATCCATTGGGCTATGCAAGTCAGTAACGTGTGTTCACAAATCATCCCTTACTTCCACTGCACAGCTTCATTTAGCTCCCACGGTGATAGCTGCATGTTGTAGTTGATGGTATTGATCCAGTGTTCTCTTGCTGTCCTAAGTCTGTTTTCAGGGAGAAATGGCTCACCTCTGGCCTCTTGGTTGTGAAGAGCACGGCAAGTCATAGTAATGTGGACAGCTTTAATTATGCTGGCATCCATACGGATTTGCCAGCACCTCCAACATTATTTTAATTGTCCTAAAGCATATTCAACAACCATATTACAGCTGCTTAGAATGTAATTAAACCTTCTTTTGTCAGGGCCTTGGAAACCAGGATATAGTTTCATAAGCCAAGGCAAAAGAGAGTATGTGCTATCCCTCAGAATAACAGTGTGGACAACACCATTTATGTCAATGTCATTCAGTGAAAATAGTCCCCCAGCCAGTCCTAGAATTTAGACTGTTGAGCAGCTAAAACTCCAACATTATGAACTTTTTCTCTATAGACCACATTGACATTCATAAATCTCCCTCTGCGATCCACTAGTACCTGCATAACAATGTAGTACCCTTTGCAGTTTATATACTCATTCTCCTTGAGAAGGGCATATTATGAGCACGAGTCGCATTACTAGCACTGCCAGTTACCAAACCTTCTCTCTCAAAGTGAGCAATTACCTCTGGAATATCTTTAATGCCTGTCGCTGTAGGGTAAACCTGAGACCTGATTGCATCATTTACCTTTGCCACCACTTCACCCACAATCAACTTTCCATACCCACACCGGTTGGCAACAAAGCTGTAGTAGTGTCTGTGGTAGAAAGCTTCCATGCACCTATAGCAACCTTCTAGACTGGCAAGGCTGACCATGAGTGTTTCTTTGTCCTGGAAGATGGTGGTTGGTGGATGGGTAGGATTAAGCTGCACACAAAGCTCCAGAAATGTTGCTTTCTTCATACAAAAGTCTTGGACCTGCTGCTTGTCATCCCAGGTCTGCATGACTCTATGGTCCCACTAGTCAGTGCTTGTGGATTGCTGTTTCTGGTATGGTCTACATAGGGGACTAGCTCAGTAAATACCAATTATACAGAGAAGCATTTGCCGCTTAGAGTCTGTAATGCCAGGTTACTCCTCTTCCTCCTGCAGCTCCACCTGGAAATCAGGTACCATTCGTGGCACAGAAAACACTGCCAAAATGTCCACCTGTACCTTGCAAGCACTCTGTCAGCTTCCTGACATGAGTGAAAGTGCAACAAGAGAAGTTCATCCAAAGGTGCTGCCTCAATATTGCTGGCTCTGGGAGCTGAACAAAATGATTGCTTAGCAGGTTTTGCTGGAAGACAGTTCAGATTTTCGATAATGTGCAGGATGGCATCGTAGTTTACTCAAAGTGCAATACATTTCTAGGGCTAGAGCATCAGCATTGTGGGTAGTGGAGCACTAAGCACTATGGAATATGGTTAATTTGACTCAGATCTGTGCACTGCAGCATGGATGCCAGAGCACTAAGTTTGAGCACCTGTCAGAAAATTCTTAACCTAGGATTACAGTGCAATGTAGATGCTCAAGCCCAGGACTCCCTAATACAGATCATCTGACTTGAGTCCCAATCAGCTTACACTGCTGTGTAGAGATAGCTTGTGTAAGTTGGAAAGCTTGTCTCTCTTACAAGAGAAGTTGGTCCAATAAAAGACATTCCCTTGCCCATTTTTTTTACTTTCTATAAGTACAAGTAACACATAAGATTGATGAAATGGAAAGAAGTTAGCTAATTCCTTCTTATGTTTATTACATAGCTTTGGTAGGAAAGTAAAATTCTTTTTGATAATCTTTTATTGGACTTTGGTGGTGGTTTTTTTTTTTTTTTTTTTGCTGTCAAAGATATTCCCCCACCGGTGTTTTGCTATAATTGGACTACTGCTTTTAGGGAAATATTGTCGTTAAGTAATTAGAGTATGGGTCTGAAATTCAACATTGATGGGTTCTCCTGTTGGTTCTGCCACTTTCTTATAGTGTCATCATGGGAAATTGATTAATTTCTCTGTGCTTCAGTTTACCCATTTGTCTATCTCATGGAAGTGTTGTAGAGTTTAATTATTATCTATTTATTTAGAATACCAATTGATCAAAATATATCATTTTCAATAAAACTGATTTATAGTATACATTTACACACACACACACACACACACACAGATTTTTAACCTCAGATTCAGCATTTGTTATATAGTAGTTTTGTTGCTATTGAGTTTTCTTTTACTGATTGAAGGTTGACTGAAGTTTAGGTTAGTAACTAGAATGATCCTGCTGTTTATTCTAACCACTAGGTTATCATATTTCTAAATATCAGGAACTATTAATTGAATGGTTAATGCAAAAAAAATCATTTATCTGATCCTTCCTGTTTGAGTTTATGCAAGCATAAAAGACAGTCCCTACATGTGCTGCCTTAGTGTATATGTTGAAAATTAACTCAACAGCCGTTTTTGTCAGCCTAAAGACTTTGTGCAAAACTAACATACTGATCAGGTGCAATCTTGTAATTCTTTCTTGTACTAATATGTAATGGACTTGATTTTAATAAGTTCAGGAAAATCAGATGAGATATGAGAGTTCAGATCTGAAATAATCTTGGGAACTTTCCTGTCCTTTTTCTATTTCCTTTATTAAAAAATACAGAAAAAAAGTATTTCTTCTGTACTATTTGATTTTCATGGATTTATTGTTTTATTTTGATTTCAGGAAGACCATGCACTCAGCTGCAACTTCTGAACCCTGAACGATTTGCCCGGCTTATCAAAGAAGTTCTGAATACTGTGTGGCCTGGCAGGGACCTACTGGTACAGTGGTATCCAGTTTCAGAAGATAAAAATCACCCACCTATTTCGTGGCTTAAGATGGTCTGGAAGAATCTATATATACACTTTTCTGAAGACTTGGCTATGTTTGATGACATGCCACTCATCCCGAAGATACCGCTAGAGGAAGATCAGGTATTAGTGGAACTTATTAGACTTAGGACACCATCTGCAATTATTTTAGAAGATGAATCTGAGACACAGCTTCCAGGATTTTTAGCTGACATCATTCAAAAACTTGGCGGTATTGTACTTAAGAAGTTAGATGCTTCCATCCAGCATCCGCTTTTTAAAAAGTATGTACATTCACCATCACCAGGTGCTGTTTTGCAGATAATGGAGAAACTGTCACTGCAAAAACTGTCTAGTCAAGTTTCATCATTACCTCCAGCACATAAAGATGCTCTCAGGAGATTCTTAGCTAGTTTAACTGATGTCAATGAAAAAGAGAGGAAAATTATTCAGGAGCTGTTGATATTTAAAAGAATTGAGCAATCATGTGATGAAGGGGTTTCTGCTTTTACTGGATTAAAAGGTTGTAAAGTGTTGCATCACACTGCCAAACTTCCACCTGGTTTGAGACTTTCTATTCCAATAATTGACAGCAGAGATGAAGCTACCATTCGTTTAGCTAACATACTACAAGTTGAACAGTTAAAGAGCACAGATTGTCTAAAGTTTATTATACAGGATATTCAAAATGACTTTTATTCTTATGATGAAACAACACAAATTATGCTCTGGGTTCTTGAAAATCTGACATTCCTCAAAAATGAGAATAGAGATGTGCTAGCTTGGCTGACATCCCTAAAATTTATTCAGATTTCAGAAGGAAGCATAGTGTCGGCCAATGAACTTTTTGATCCTGAGGTAGAAGTACTGCAAAATCTGTTTTATGCTGAGGAGGAAATTTGTTTCCCACCTAGCATTTTTACAACATCTTCAGATATTCTTCATTCTCTGAGACAAATAGGTTTAAAAAGTGAAAGCAATCTTGAAGAAAAAGATATTATGCGAGTGGCAAATAAAATTGAAAGTTTGCAAGGTGATTCTAGCACAAGCCATGATGTATTATTAAGAAAAGCTAGAACTCTGTTAATGATTTTGAACAAAAATCATATGTTGCTGCAGTCACCTGAAGCTAAAACGCTGCTGAAAAAATTAAAATGGATTCCAGCGTGTAAGGAAAGACCTCCAAACTATCCTGCATCATTGGTTTGGAAAGGAGACCTTTGTAATTTTTGTTCACCACCAGAAATGTGTAATATAGCTCATGCAATTTTAGCCGGTTCATCAGTTCCCTTTGTGGAAGGTGTCCATTTAAATATAGAAAAAGCACTTGGCATGTCCATCAAACCTGGAATAAAAGCAGTCCTAAAACATTTTAAAGTGGTGGTTGATTGGCACAGTTCTAAAACCTTTAGTGATGAAGATTATTACCAATTTCAGCATATATTGCTTGAAATTTATGGATTTATGCACGATCACTTAGAAGAAGGTAAAGATGCTTTTAAAGCCTTGACATTTCCCTGGGTCTGGACTGGTAAAACATTTTGTTCCCTTACCCAGGCTGTAATAATGTCAGTACCTGATCTTGATCTCCAGCCTTATTTGCATAATGTACCAAAAACGATGGCTAAATTCCACCAGTTGTTTAAAAGTTGTGGTTCAGTTGAGCAGTTGACACCAGACCATGTTTCCATGGTCATTCAGAAAATATATCTAAAGAGTGAGCAATCTATCAGTGAAGAGGAGAGTAAACAAAATCTTCATATTATGCTGAATATTATAAGATGGCTATATAGCAGTCAGATTCCAGCAAGTCTGAATACACCTGTGCCTATATATTGTAGCAAGCGTCCTTTTAAGCTTGTAATGAAACCAATTCATGAATGTTGTTATTGTGACATCAAAGTTGATGACTTAAATGATTTGCTTGAAGATTCTACAGAACCAATAATTCTGGTGCATGAAGACATACCTATGAAAACTGCAGAATGGTTAAATGTGCCCTGCCTCAGTACAAGATTGATTAATCCAGAAAACATGGGATTTGAGCAATCTGGGCAAAGAGAACCTCTGACTGTAAGAATTAAAAACATTTTGGAGGAATACCCTTCTGTTTCAGATATATTTAAAGAGCTACTTCAAAATGCCGATGATGCCAATGCGACAGAATGTAATTTCATGATTGACATGAGAAGAAATATGAATATAAGAGAGAATCTTTTGGATCCAGGAATGGCAGCATGTCATGGACCAGCTTTATGGTCATTCAACAATTCTGAATTTTCTGACTCAGATTTTCTAAATATAACTAGATTAGGTGAGTCTCTAAAAAGAGAAGAAGTTGATAAAGTGGGGAAATTTGGATTAGGGTTCAACTCTGTTTACCATATCACTGATATTCCCATCATTATGAGCCGAGAATTCATGATAATGTTTGATCCAAACATTAACCATCTCAGTAAACATATTAGAGATAAATCTAATCCTGGGATCAAGATTAATTGGAGTAAGCAACAGAAAAGGCTGCGAAAATTTCCTAATCAGTTCAAGCCATTTATAGGTGTGTTTGGTTGTCAGCTACCATTGACTGTGGAGGCTCCTTACAGTTATAAAGGGACACTTTTCAGACTTTCCTTTAGAACTCAACAGGAAGCTAAAGTGAGTGAAGTTAGCAGTACTTGCTATAATACAGCAGATATTTATTCTCTTGTGGATGAGTTTAGCATTTGTGGTCATAGACTGATTATATTCACTCAGTGTGTAAATTCAATGGTTCTGAAATACTTGAAAGTTGAGGAATCTGACCCTGGTGTAGCACAAGATACAGTGACCATTAAAAAAAGTCTGTGTTCCTCTAAAGCATTGGCTACACCAGTTGTAAATGTTTTAAAGGAAGCAGCAAAGCTCATGAAGACTTGCAGCAGCAGTAATAGAAAACTTCCCACTGAAACTCCAAAGTCTTCATGTATCCTGCAGATAGTAGTAGAAGAATTTCATTATGTATTTAGGCGGATTGCTGACTTACAGTCTCCACTTTTCAGAGGTCCAGAAGATGATCCAGCTTCTCTTTTTGAAACGGCTAAAGCTGGACAGGTGAAAAGGCCAGCTGAAGAACTGCCACAAAAAACAGTAGATTCTACAACTTGGCTCATATGTTCTTGTATGGATATTGGTGATGCTCTAAAATTTTCATTACACGAAAGTGGACGAAGACTAGGCCTTGTTCCCTGTGGTGGAGTAGGAGTACTGCTGTCTGAAACTCAGGACCAAAAGTGGATTGTGAAACCTAATTGCAAAAACATTGGAGAAGTATTCTGCTACTTACCGCTACGAATAAAAACAGGTTTACCCGTTCACATCAATGGTTGTTTTGCTGTTACTTCAAATAGAAAAGAGATCTGGAAAACAGACACAAAAGGAAGATGGAACACAATATTCATGAGACATGTCATTGTAAAGGCCTATTTAGAAGCACTTTGTGTTTTACGTGACATGACAGTCAATGGTGAGCTAGCTGACTACAGTTACTATGCAGTATGGCCAGATCCTGACTCAGTGCATGATGATTTTTCTGTGATATGTCAAGGATTTTATGAAGATATAGCTCATGCAAAAGGCAAAGAAAGAATCAAAGTGTTCTCTGATGGTTCATCTTGGGTTTCCATGAAGAATGTGAGGTTTTTAGATGATTCAATATTGAAGCGTCCAGATATTGGACCATCAGCATTTAAAATCTTCCTCAAATACCTTAAAAAAACTGGATCAAAAAATCTTTGCACTGTGGAGCTTCCATCTTGGGTGAAGACAGGGTTTGAAGAAGCAGGATGTAAATATATATTACTAGAGAACACTTTCTCTGAGAGACAGTTCTTTTCTGAAGTTTTTTTCCCTAATATTCAGGAAATTGATGCAGAGCTGCGTGATCCTTTGATGAGTTATGTTTTGTATGAAAAGATTGAGGAGTTCTCAGGAATACTTCGTGTTACTCCATGTATTCCTTGTTCTTTGGATAGACATTCTTTAGTTATACCTTCAAGTTTGATTCACCCTGAAGGAAGAGTTGCAAAGTTGTATGATGCTAAAGATGGAAGATTTCCTTATGGCAGCAGTCAGGATTACCTTAATCCAGTTATCTTGGTTAAACTTGTTCAGTTAGGTATGGCTAAGGATGATGTCTCATGGGAAGATCTAATAGAACGTGCAGAATCAGTAGCAGTAATTAATAGAAATGATCATGTTGCAGCTTGTCTCAGAAGCAGCATTATATTAAGTCTCATTGATGAAAAACTAAAATGTAGAGATCCTAGAGCTAAAGAATTTGCTGCAAAATGCCAAACAATCCCTTTTCTCCCATTCCTCCCAAAACCAGCAGGCTTCTCATTACCCTGGAAGGGTAGTGACTTTGAGCCTGAAACAATGTTTTCAGCAACTGATCTTTTTACTGCTGATCATCAAGATATTGTTTGTCTTTTACGACCAGTTCTTAATGAAAACTCTCATTCCTTTAAAGGTTGTGGGGCTATATCATTAGCTGTCAAAGACTTCTTGGGTTTACTTAAGAAACCAACTGTTAATCTGGTCATAAATCAGTTGCAAGAAGTTGCAAAGTCATTTGATGGAATTACTTTGTACCAGGAGAATATCACCAATGCTTGCTACAAATACCTCCATGAAGCAATGCTACAAAATGAAACAACAAAAGCAGTCATCATTGAAAAGTTGAAAAATTGTAGTTTCATTCTTGTCGAGAGTGCATATGTTGTCCCAACAAAAGTATGTTTTCATTTGAATTTTGAAGCAACACCATATCTTTATCAGTTGCCTAATAAATATAAAAATAGTTTCCGTGAACTATTTGAAAATGTAGGTGTAAGACATGCTTTTACTGTTGAAGATTTTGCCTCAGTTCTTGAGACTGTAAATCATGAAAGGGGATGCAAACAGCTAACAGAAGAGAATTTTCAGCGTTGTAGGAGAATCATTAGTGAAGGAATATGGAGTCTCATTAGAGAGAAGAAGCAAGAATTATGTGAGAAAAAATATGGTGAGATTTTGTTGCCAGATACTCATTTGGCACTTTTACCTGCTAAATCTTTGTGCTACAATGACTGTCCTTGGATAAAAGTTAAAGATACAACTGTAAAATACTGTCACGCTGATATCCCTAGAGAAGTTGCAGTAAAACTTGGTGCAGTACCCAAGCGACATAAAGCTTTAGAAAGATATGCCTCTAATATCTGTTTTACTACTCTTGGGACTGAGTTTGGACAGAAAGAAAAATTGACAAGTAGAATTAAAAGCATTCTTAATGCCTATCCCTCTGAAAAAGAAATGCTGAAAGAGCTTCTTCAGAATGCGGATGATGCAAAAGCTACAGAAATCTGTTTTGTGTTTGATTCTAGACAACATCCAGTTGATAGAATATTTGATGAGAAATGGGCACCACTTCAAGGTCCAGCACTATGTGTTTACAACAATCAGCCTTTCACAGAGGATGACATAAGAGGAATTCAGAACCTTGGAAAAGGCACTAAAGAAGGAAATCCATGTAAAACTGGACAATATGGGATAGGATTCAATTCCGTGTATCACATTACTGACTGCCCATCTTTCATATCTGGTAATGATATACTATGTATCTTTGATCCCCATGCTAGATATGCACCAGGTGCAACTTCAATGAGTCCTGGACGTATGTTTAGAGATTTAGATGCAGATTTCAGAACACAGTTCTCAGATGTACTGGACCTTTATTTAGGAAATCACTTTAAAATGGATAATTGCACAATGTTTAGGTTTCCACTTCGAAATGCAGAAATGGCAAAAGTGTCAGAAATTTCCCCAGTTCCATGTTCAGATAGAATGGTCCAAAATCTTCTGGATAAGCTGCGCACAGATGGAGCAGAACTTCTAATGTTTTTAAATCACATGGAAAAAATTTCCATTTGTGAAATAGAAAAAGCAACTGGAGCATTGAATGTGTTATATTCTGTAAAGGGCAATATCACTGATGGAGACAGATTGAAACGGAAGCAATTCCATGCATCTGTAATTGACAGCGTAACTAAAAAAAAGCAGTTAAGTGAAATACCTGTGCAACAAATTACTTACACTATGGATACCGAAGATTCTGAAGGGAACCTTACATCTTGGTTAATTTGCAACAGATCAGGTTTTTCAGCTATGGAAAAGGTGTCTAAGAGTGTTATATCAGCTCACAAGAACGAAGACATTACTCTTTTTCCACGTGGAGGTGTAGCTGCTTGCATTACTCACAACTACAAAAAACCACATCGGGCATTTTGTTTCTTACCCTTATCATTAGAAACCGGGTTACCTTTTCACGTGAATGGACATTTTGCTCTAGATTCTGCCAGAAGAAATCTATGGAGGGATGATAATGGAGTTGGAGTAAGAAGTGATTGGAATAATAGCCTAATGACAGCACTAATAGCACCCGCCTATGTTGAACTACTGATTCAACTAAAAAAACGTTACTTTCCAGGCACTGATCCCACAGTATCAGTATTGCAAAACACACCTGTTCATATTGTAAAAGACACTTTGAAAAAATTTTTGTCTTTCTTCCCTGTTAACAGACTTGATCTGCAGCCAGATTGGTATTGCTTAGTGAAAGCAGTTTACAGCTGCATTCATGAAGATTTAAAACGCCTCTTACCTGTTGTGCGGGCTCCAAATATTGATGGCTCTGATTTACATTCTGCTGTTATTATTACTTGGGTTAATATGTCTACCTCGAACAAAGGTAGGCCATTCTTTGACAATTTGCTACAAGATGAGTTGCATCACCTCAAAAATGTAGACTACATCACAACACGTAAGACAGTGGCAGAAAATGTTTATAGACTCAAACATCTTCTTTTAGAAATTGGATTCAATTTGGTATATAACTGTGATGAAACAGCAAATCTTTACCATTGTCTTGTAGATGCAGATATACCTGTCAGCTATGTGACTCCTGCTGACGTCCGATTTTTTTTGATGACTTTTTCTTCTCCAGACTCTAATTGCCACATTGGAAAGTTGCCTTGTCGTCTTCAACAGACAAACCTGAAACTCTTTCACAGTCTAAAACTTCTGGTTGATTATTGCTTTAAGGATGCTGAAGAAAATGATGTCCAAATTGAGGGGTTGCCACTTCTTATTACACTTGACAATGTCTTACAAGTTTTTGATTCAAAGAGGCCAAAGTTCTTAACAACGTATCATGAACTGATTCCATCTCGCAAGGATCTGTTTATGAACACTCTGTATTTGAGATACAGTAATATTTTACTTAGATGTGAGGTAGCAAAAGCTTTTGATATCACAAGTTTTGCTGATTTGTTATCATCTGTGTTGCCTAGAGAATATAAAACCAGAAGTTTTGTACGATGGAAAGAAAATTTTGCAAGTGAATCTTGGCTTAAAAATACATGGCATTTTATCAGTGAATCTGTAAATGTTAAGGAAGATCAAGAGGATATGACACCAAAATTTGATGATGTTGTTGATACTTTGAAGGATTGGGCTTTGCTTCCAGGTATGAAGTTTACTGTCTCAGCCAATCAGCTTGTTGTACCAGAGTGTGATGTCTTATTGCCCCTCAGCTTAATGCACATAGCTCTTTTCCCAAATGCTCAGAGTGATAAAGTTTTCCATGCTTTAATGAAAACTGGTTGTATTCAGCTTGCGTTGAACAAGATATGCTCCAAAGACAATGTTTTAATGCCTCTGTTGTCAGGATATACAGCAAATATAGATAATCCATCAAGCATTCTGAAAGCCATACACTATATGGTGCAGACTTCAACATTTAAGACTGAAAAATTAGCAGAAAATGATTTTGAGGCCCTTCTAATGTACTTTAGTTGCCATTTAAGTCATTTGATGTCTCAGGATGACATCAAAATTTTAAAGTCTCTTCCATGCTATAAATCCATTAGTGGTCGATACATCAGTATTTCAAAATGTGGAACATGTTACATACTTACAAAAAGTATTCCTTCAGTTGAAGTGGATAGATGGACACAGTCAACTTCATCTGCCTTTCTTGAAGAAAAAATTAATTTGAAAGACTTGTACACTGTGCTTGGTTGTGTCCCTGTGGATGATCTTGAAGTGTATTTGAAGCATCTTTTACCAAAAATTGAAAGTCTGTCTTATGATGCAAAGGTACAACATCTGATCTACTTAAAGAACAGACTTACTGGCATCGAGGAATCTTCAGAAATAAAGGAACAGCTATTTGAAAAGCTGGAAAGCTTTTTGATAATTCATGATGCAAGCAATAGATTAAAACCTGCAAAACATTTTTATGACAGAACTGTAAAAGTCTTTGAAGTTATGCTTCCTGAAAAATTATTCATACCTCAAGATTTCTTTAAGAGACTGGAACAGCTCACAAAACCGAAGAATCAAGGGGCATTCCTTACATCCTGGGTAACATTCCTGAGGAATATAGGACTAAAATACATCATTTCTCAGCAACAGTTACTACAGTTTGCTAAGGAGATCAGTATGAGAGCAAACACAGAAAGCTGGTCTAAGGAAACACTGCAAAATACAGTTGATGTCCTCCTTCATCACATATTTCAGGAAAGAACTGATTTATTATTGGGAAACTTTCTAAAAGAATTATCTTTAATTCCTTTTTTGTGTCCAGAGCGTGCGCCTGCTGAAATTGTCAGATTTCATCCTCAGTATCAAGAGGTTAATGGAACGCTACCTCTTATAAGATTCAGTGGAGCACAAGTAAACCCTAAATTCAAACAGACTGATGTTTTACAATTGCTATGGACCTCATGTCCTATTCTTCCTGAAAAAGCTACACCTTTAAGTATCAAAGAACAGGAAGGAAGCAGTCTTGGTCCACAAGAACAGCTTGAACAGGTTTTAACTATGCTTAATGTTAACTTGGATCCTCCTTTGGACAAAGTTATCAATAACTGCAGAAATATATGCAATATAACAACTTTAGATGAGGATATGGTGAAAACCAGAGCTAAGGTACTAAGAAGTATCTATGAATTTCTCAGTACAGAGAAAAGGGAATTCCGCTTTCAGCTTCGAGGGATTGCTTTTGTGATGGTGGAAGAAGGTTGGAAGCTCCTGAAGCCTGAGGAGGTAGTCATAAATCTTGAGTATGAATCTGATTTCAAACCTTACCTTTACAAACTTCCTTTAGAACTTGGCACCTTCCACCAATTGTTTAAACATTTAGGTACTGAAGATGTTATTTCAACAAAACAATATGTTGAGGTTTTAAGTCGCATATTCAAGAACTCTGAAGGAAAACAATTGGATCCTAATGAAATGCGCACAGTTAAAAGAGTTGTTTCTGGCCTGTTTAAAAGTCTGCAAAATGATTCTGTTAAGGTTAGAAATGACCTTGAGAATGTGAGAGATCTGGCTCTTTACCTTCCCAGTCAAGATGGTAGATTGGTAAAATCAAGTATCTTAGTTTTTGATGATGCACCACATTACAAAAGTAGAATACAGGGTAATATCGGTGTACAGATGCTCGTTGATCTTAGCCAGTGTTATTTAGGAAAAGACCATGGTTTTCACACTAAGCTGATAATGCTATTTCCTCAGAAACTGAGGCCTCGCCTACTTAGCAGTATTCTTGAAGAATTGTTGGATGAAGAATCTCCCAAAACATGTCAGTTTGGAGCATTATGTTCTCTACAAGGAAGGTTGCAGTTACTATTATCTTCTGAACAGTTTATTACAGGACTCATTAGAATTATGAAGCATGAAAATGACAACGCTTTCTTAGCCAATGAAGAAAAGGCCATAAAACTGTGCAAAGCCTTGCGAGAAGGCTTGAAAGTTTCCTGTTTTGAGAAGTTGCAAACAACATTAAGGGTTAAAGGGTTTACTCCTATTCCACACAGTAGAAGTGAAACATTTGCTTTTTTAAAGCGATATGGGAATGCAGTAATACTGCTTTATATACAGCACTCTGATAGCAAAGACATAAATTTCCTCTTAGCATTAGCAATGACCCTGAAATCTGCAACCGACAATCTAATTTCTGATACCTCATATTTAATTGCTATGTTGGGTTGCAATGATATTTACAGAATTAGTGAGAAGCTTGATAGTTTAGGAGTGAAGTATGACTCCTCAGAACCATCAAAGCTTGAATTACCAATGCCTGGCACTCCTATCCCAGCTGAAATTCATTACACTCTCCTTATGGATCCAATGAATGTTTTCTATCCAGGTGAATATGTTGGTTACCTTGTTGATGCTGAAGGTGGTGATATATATGGATCATACCAACCAACATATACATATGCAATCATTGTACAAGAAGTAGAAAGGGAAGATGATGAAAATTCCAGTTTTCTAGGCAAGATTTATCAGATTGATATTGGATATAGTGAGTACAAAATAGTGAGTTCTCTTGATTTATACAAGTTTTCTAGGCCCGATGAAAGTTCTCAGAGTAAAGACAGCGCACCTTCAACCCCAACTAGTCCTACAGAATTTCCAGCACATGGACCTAGAACAGTTCCTCCTCTTTTCTCTGGTAGAGAGAGCCATAAAACAACATCTTCAAAACATCACTCTCCCAAAAAGATTAAGCCAAATTCTTTGCCAGAAATATTAAGAGAAGTGACCTCAGTGATTGAACAAGCTTGGAAACTTCCAGAATCTGAAAGGAAAAAGATTATTAGAAGATTGTATCTTAAGTGGCATCCAGATAAAAATTCAGAGAATCTTGACATAGCCAATGAAGTTTTCAAACATTTACAGAATGAGATTAACAGACTAGAAAAACAGGCCTTTATAGATCAAAATGCAGACAGAGCATCAAGACGAACATTTTCATCCTCAGCTTCTCGGTATCAGTCAGACAAATTTTCATTTCAAAGATTTTATACTTCGTGGAATCAAGAAGCTACAAGCCATAAATCTGAAAGGCAACAGTATAAAGAAAAGTGCCCATCTTCCACAGGGCCATCTTACTCTTCACGTTTCTTTGTACCACCCACATTCAAGTCTGTTGGTAATCCTGTGGAAGCACGTAGATGGCTTAGGCAGGCTCGAGCAAACTTTTCAGCTGCAAGAAATGACCTTCATAAAAATGCTAATGAATGGGTGTGCTTCAAATGCTATCTCTCCACTAAATTAGCCTTGATTGCAGCTGACTATGCAGTAAGGGGTAAATCAGATAAAGATGTAAAACCAGCTGCACTTGCACAAAAAATAGAGGAATATAGTCAACAACTTGAAGGACTTACAAATGATGTTCACACACTGGAAGCTTATGGAGTAGATAGCTTAAAAACTCGATATCCTGATATGCTTCCCTTTCCACAGATTCCAAATGACAGGTTCACTTCTGAAGTTGCCATGAGAGTGATGGAGTGCACTGCTTGTATTATAATAAAACTTGAAAACTTTATACAACAAAAAGTGTGAGAGATTTGAAAAAGTTAAAATATTGTACTCTGTAGAACTAGATATTTAATATGATGGGATACAAATGTAATTTACATGTGCAGATTACTATATTTCTGAAAGGTTACACTTACCAAACATCTTAGAAATACAATGTGCATATGTGAATGGTACTGAAGTATTTAGAATTGAAATTAATTTAAACAGACCATTTTTTTCTGAGCCTACTGTATAAGCAAGCTGTAAAACATGAATATTGTAAAATTTGCAGGGAGAGTGAGGTGCGAAAAGTAGATGCCTGTAGAGTACATTGGTTAAAGTACATATTATTGGACTGCACTTTATGTAACCAAAGGTTAGCAGTATGTTAGATAAAACTTGTATATACACTTATATTTTATTTCATTTAATATTATGTTTCCAAAAATGTGGTGTCACCTTTTTAGTATACTGTTTAGACTGGACAAATTACTAAATGAAAAATAATAAAATAACTTTGGAGAGGAGTTACTCCAGAGCATTTCTTTATTCTTTTGTGTTCCATGGACATTGATGTCTCTCATAGTAGTATTCTTATCAGCTGGATCTGATTATCAGTTTGCTGCAGTATTACATCCTAAAGTTTAAAGGATAATACAGTACCTTTGACTTGTACAATATTTTACTCCTGATTAATATTACTTGACTTAAACATACAACATCATGTAGTGCATTGAATGCATTTACTTAATTATAATTAGGTATTTAATTTACATTTTCTGTTCAAGAGCCTGTCATTGTTTATTTAATGAAAACTGCATATGGATAACCTGATAGGTGACCATTAATGTATAGAGTTTTATGAAGGGTTTTTGAAAACCATTCACCAAAACTAAATTCTCAAATGTCTACACTTGAGTGTTGTGCTTCTTTATACTTTCCTCAAATAAACATTGGAAATGTAGTATGATTTGGTAAGCCATTATTTGGCATACAGCAGGCAATATCTTTTGTTATATGTCAAAAGGTGCTGTAATGTAACACTTTTTTATTTTGTTTTTCACGATGGCACTAGACATGTTTGATTTTTAGTTCATTTTCTTTTATAAACTATAATACTTCTGGTAATGTCATGTAATGTATTCAGCAATCACTATTTGTAAAGAATTATGGGAACTTGTAAATAGGATATTTTCATTTGTTTTTTGTTCAAATCTGCAATATTTAACATAAATGTTCATCATATCCCAATGATATGATTGTCATAACTGTTTACTTGCTAGCATAGTGGAACTGTAATTTCACTTACAGAATGTAAAGGCAAACATATAATAACATGATCTTGCAGGGGTGCTGAGGGTGCAGCAGCATGTAATCCAAAAAAGAAAATGCTGACAAAGGTTTTTTCAGTTTCATTCACATAAATAAGGGCTTGTTGTGTTCAGAAACCTCAGAAGTAATTATTTGAAATAGGATGAAATTTATGCTGTTTGGAAAACTGTATTGCTTCTGGTTGTGAAGCCTTGTGATTATTTCTGCTGTTATATTAAGTGCCATAACTTTAATAAAGAAAAATGCAAAAACATACTTCAGACTGTGTCTCTCTTAGTTTTATAAACTAGCCCAGTTTTAACCAATAATATCAAGCTTGCTTTTAGCTAAATCACTTCTTTTTGGTTCATTGCAGTCAACTGTGCTGTATGCATTAGTATATTAAAAAGAAAAATATGCAGGTGAATGCTTTTTTTCTTATAAAAGTTCATATCCCACTTTTCACATTTCATAGAAAAATATATTTGATGATTTTGAGCAACAACTTGCAGTCAGGTAAAATGGAAAACTAGGTGTGCTCATGAAATAAAGTAATTAGTAGTAGCTTTTAAATGGTAGTATTAATGATCAGGTAATTGTTATGGTAATTATTACATGAAAAAGTGTTCAATATATGCAAGTTGTGCGTGTGTGTCTAAAATTACTAGCAACATGAAAAAATTATTGAAAATATTTGTCATTAATATTTAATGTACAATACCATCATGTGGAATAGTGCTAAAAAAGCATCGTCATAAGAACAATTTGAAGGCTATTCAAAGACATTCTCAGGGAGCATCTTTGAAATGAATAGTTATGAGTGAAAATATGTACTTTCCTCAAAAACAATGTGATTAACCCTTTAAAATGGTTGTTCAACATGGTACTGAATAAGCTTTGTTAGTCATATTTAAGTTCTGATAATATCCTATAGAAAATTAATGTTTACCTTGCCTGGCTTAAATTTTAAAACCATAGATGTTGCTCTAGGGCAGGGGTGGCCAACCCGTTCCAGATGAAGAGTCACAATCCCAATGGAGACAGTGTGAAGATCCAATCCAAAAAATCTGAAACGAATATAAATCAGGATGGCTATGCTTTTTTTTTTTTTTTTTTTTTTTCAGTGGGGGGTGGGGATTTGGTTAATAACTTTTCCCCAGGTCTTCGCAACCCTGCCCTTTTTTTGTGGGGGGGAGGGAGGGCTCAATAACTTTGCCCCGGCTCTTCACGCTGTCTCCGCTGCTATTGTGGCTCACAAAAAAAAAAAGCACTGGAAAGGAGTGAGAGGTGCAAGCTCTGGGAGGGAGTTTGGGTGCAGGAGGAAGAAGAGAAGAGGATGCTGGCTCAGGGAGGGGGCTCTAGGCTGGAGAGTGTTGGCGTCAGGTGGAGGGTTGGGGTGCTGAGCGAGCTGCAGGGTGCAGGACTTTGGGCTGGGATGTATGAGGGGCTCAGGGCAGGGAGCTGGGAGTATAGTGCGCTCAGAACACAGATTTGCAGTGTGTGGATGGGGGCTTAGGACACAGATTTGCAGGAGTGTTGTGACAAGACTGAGGATGTGGGGGTGCAGGAGTTTGGGGATGAGAGGCTCAGGACAGGGGGTTCCAGCGTATGACAGGCTCAGGTTTGGGGTTGGGTGTGTGTGTGCAGGAGTGTTATGATGCTGCGGCCAAATGGGAGGTTGGCCCCAACTGGGGGCTTGTTGGCCAGGCTTCATTTTTAATTAAATATTATGTCAAGCACAAAATGTTTCAGTATTTTCTTTATTTAGGAGAGGGGCAGAGAACCTGCTTTGAGTCAGGGGTCACTGACCCACAGAAAAGTCAGTCGGGGCCACACAAGTGAGATGCAAAAAAACAACTGCTCCCCCCCCACCCAAGCATCATTAATGTGGCCCCAACTGTGTTGGTGCGGGCAGGGGATAGGGTGCTGGGACAAGGTACTTGTGAGGGGGGGTATGGCCAGGAGGAGGGGACAGAGACAGCTGGGGCCAGTACCTGGGTATCCCAGGTCTCAGGAAGCGCATGGTCTGCTCTTCCTGTCCCCGCCCCCAGGAACCCCCTGCTCTAACCCAAACCCCCTCCCCTTCCCCAGAGCCAGGCGCGCGCACACACACACCCTCTCTAACCCAATCCTTCTCCCCTTTCTCAGAACCAGGCACCCCCCCCAGCCCAATCCCCGTCCCCTTCTCCAGAACCCAATCCCCATCCTCTCCCCTCCCCCAGAGCCAGTCCCACCGCTCTAACCTAACCCAAACCCCCTCCCCTTCCCCAAAGCCAGGCGCGCGCACACACACACCCTCTCTAACCCAATCCTTCTCCCCTTTCTCAGAGCCAGGCACCCCCCCCAGCCCAATCCCCGTCCCCTTCTCCAGAACCAGGAACACCCCCCCAACCCAATCACCCCCCAGAGCCAGGCACCTGCCTCTCTCTATACTAATCCCCCTTTCTTCCTCCCCCCACTCTAACCTAATTCTGGGGTCCCAGAGCTGCCTCTGCCGCTACAGCCACGTGTCTCCCTCCAGGTGCTGGGCATGTGCACTGAGTGGCCGGCGCGCTAAGTGTCTGGCATGCCATGCACACCTCCCCAACCCAATCCCCCTCCCCTTCCCCAGGGTCAGGACAATTCCCCTCCCATCTCTAACCCAATCCCTCTCCCCCACTAACCTTATGCCCAGGTCCCGGAGCTGCTGCTGGCGCCGCCGCGACACCCAGAGTCACTGCCTGCTAGCACATGCAGGATGGGATGCTGTGTGCGAACTTGCCTGCATGTGCAGGATATGACATAGTGCGCTGGGGGCAGTGAGCGGAATGGCGCAGGCTGTGAGCACACATGCGGCTCATAGTGGCCCAACTGTCAGAGCAGCTGACCTGAGCGATTCCAGGTTCTGTTCCAGTTCCATCAGGAGCTGAAGTTTTTTTCACGAGGCTCGTGAGCCACAGGTTGGCCACCCGTGCTCTAGGGCAAGCAAAATGTCTGACTATACAGACAAGTCACATATTGCCAGTGACATTGACAGTTTCATCCTGGGATAATGCAACCAATAAGTTAAAACATTTGTGTATACATATACTAAGGCATATTTAGTTATCTACTGTGCCTAACAGATGCCTGTGGTATTCATATTCAATATGGTACTGTAATTATTGACATGGTACTATATTAAGGAATCATTATGCAGAAGTTGGTCAGGAAATATTATGCCATTCCTTCACTTCTCACATTTTTGATAGAACCAACCAAGAATGAGAAAGTAAACCAACATTTTCCCCCAGCTAAAGGTGCAAAAAGCACCTATGCAGTTAATTTCTAGGCTGGCTTACCTTCCTGCTCAGTAACTAATGCAGTGTAATGCTGCATTATTTACAATTAGTGGAATGAGAGAGGAACCAAACCCAAACAAAAAGGTAATTCAGGATTTTGAGTAAGGGTACGTCTAGACTACATGCCTCTGTCACCAGAGGCATGTAGATTAGGCTACCAGACATAGTAAAATGAAGCGGCGATTTAAATAATCGCTGCTTCATTTAAATTTACATGGCTGCCACGCTGAGCCGACAAACAGCTGATCAGCTGTTTGTCGGCTCAGCGTGGCAGCCATGTAAATTTAAATGAAGCAGCGATTATTTAAATCGCCGCTTCATTTTACTATGTCTGGTAGCCTAATCTACATGCCTCTGGTGACAGAGGCATGTAGTCTAGACGTACCCTTACTCAAAATCCTGAATTACCTTTTTGTTTGGGTTTGGTTCCTCTCTCATTCCACTAATTGTAAATAATGCAGCATTACACTGCATTAGTTACTGAGCAGGAAGGTAAGCCAGCCTAGAAATTAACTGCATAGGTGCTTTTTGCACCTTTAGCTGGGGGAAAATGTTGGTTTACTTTCTCATTCTTGGTTGGTTCTATCAAAAATGTGAGAAGTGAAGGAATGGCATAATATTTCCTGACCAACTTCTGCATATAAACTAGCAAAGCCTTATGTGATTGCTCTTTGCAGAACTCTGTGGAAGTGAGCAATTGGAATGTCATGCAGCATGACAAATGGGATTACACAATCCAGCTAGCCAAATCCTATGGTACAGCCAGGACAGAGCACTATTCATCCCTCTTCCTAGAAGTAAAACGAATCTTCAGAAATGTATCCTCCACCCTGGTCCCCCAAAATGGTAAGAGTTGTGAGAAGCGTAGGCTAGATTGTGATGGTTGTTACAGAATATATGTGAACCAGGGGATTAGTGGTGGAGTTGAACTTCAGGAACAGCTGTAGAGCCTGAGCACTTTTCACAAGTGAAATGGTCACTCTTGGGACTCTTCCCAGTCACACAGCAGCATTTGCACTCATGCTGAACAGCACGCTTGATCTGCCTTTACAAAGGGACACACGTAAAGTATTTATGGCTTATTTTTAGTATTTAGTATTTTTTATAAATTGATAACATTAGAAATGTTTTTATGGCCTATTTACAAATTTCTATGGAAACAGGCTCTTTTAAAGCAGTTATGTGCCTTGCAATAATCTGCTGAATCCTGCTTATGGACTGCAGTCAGCTGGTACATGGGGTTTTTTTTCATTGTTGTGGGGTTTTTTAAGCAAAGTCACAGTATCACTAATCCATAATAATTACTCTGACCAATGTTTCTTCTAATTTTTGCCATCCATGTGCCGTTTTTATGTCGATGAGGCATGTGCAAATGCACCACCAATAGAAACCAAAAATCTAGCTGTGGTCGCTCTGCTAATCAGCTGGGTGGCATTTGAATTTCTCCGGGGTGGCTGCACAAGTCACAGCTAACAGGAAACACTGATTAAACTCAAAATTGTATACTAAGTTTTGGATGTGGTCTTGCTTAGTCTTAGCGTGACAATGGCTAAACCAGCATTACATAAAGCGAATAGTGTAAAAGGAAAATGAAGAGGACTCAGTGTGAAAACTACGGTAGATAGTCTCAAGTTTAGCATTTTCCACACCTCTGACAAATTGAAAATAACCAAAATAAATCTCTTTTTCTTCTTCGAGTGGTCCCCCTGGGTGCTCCACTCTAGGTGTTGGGCTCGTCCTGGCGCCGCTGGTTGGAGGATTTTACAGCCATAGTCAGCTGGACTGCGCGCATGCACGGTTAGTGTCTCGCGCCGTTCGCGCCTTTCTACTGTCGCGCGGTCCGGCTCCTGCCAATTCCTCTCAACCGTCCTCAGTTGCTGGTGGCGCTTCCTTCTCCTCAGTGTGAGGATTGGTCATCTGGAAAAAAGTTACAGTTTAGAATTTTATAGTTAGTTAGTTAGTTGTTCCTGTTATACTGTTCGGTTAGTTTAAAAAAAATTTTTTTACTTAGTTCTTAAGTGTTAGTTAGCCTCTTAGTCATATTAATTCAGGGTCCTTTTTACATCCCAGATCCATTATGCCTAGCTTGCCAGGTTTCAAGAAATGTTCCCTGTGTTGAGACGCAATGCCTGTTTCAGACGGCCATGCCGCCTGTATTCGCTGCCTCGGAGAGTCCCATATTCCCCAAAAGCGTACCCACAGCTCAAAATTACTGCAAGAGCGCGTAGGGACAGGGAAATGCGTTTAAAAATGATAGTCTTTAATAAGGCTTTACAGCCTTCAAAGGCTAGCCCTTCAGACTCGGCTGTGGCGCAGAAGTGGAGAGTGTCACCCCCTGGGGCAATGGCTTCAAAGAAAAAATGAGCCTCCCCCACTCGCTTGTTGCCCGCCGCACCCATGTCAAGACCGGAGACGGCACCGCAGAGGGAGCGCAAGACAGCACCGGAGACAGCACCAGGCACAGATTCTCCATTCTCATCTACATCGCAATCCCCCATACCACAGCACTGAGACAATCGGATGATGACTCTGATACTGAGATCACTTCGGTTCCTACGAAGGTGGCTAGGAAATCCATAACATGCCTCCCTTCACTCTCTCCATCTGCGGTATTCTCCCCTGCACTATCCCCATCACCACCAGCGTGTAGATCCCCTCAGAGGACACCCCATGTCATCTCGGAGTCTCACCCATGACCCACCCCTCGATCACCTCAGCTGCAGTCCGCGCCTTACCACACTGCTCACATGCACAGACGATCCTCTCCACGACACAGGTACTCACCTTGCAGATCCCATTCTCGGAGCCACTCCCCGTGTGCAACATACCATAGTAAGCATAGGAGAGTGTATTCCTCCAGAAGATCATCTCCAGCGTATTCAGATCACTTCTATGAGCACCGTCATAGCTCCCATGGGCGTCACAGATCTCACTCATACACCCATTCCTCATGCTGTTGTCATTCTTGATCACACCGTCATTACTCGCCACTGGTGCACATCCAACAGAGGAAACAATCATCAATCCCACCTTCCATGGACCCTCTGGTGGAAACACATCAGTCAGAGCCGGAAGAGGGACAGATATCAGATACTGATGACCAGCCTCAGGAAGCCTCTCCCATGGATCTCTTGTCATCTTCTCCAGACGAGGCTGTGTTTCCAGCGGATACCTTGCCTCCAGATGATATGAGGTAATTCCAAGATCTTTTTAAAAGAGTGGTGGACTCTCAGGAGGTGCAGCTGGGAGAAGTACAAGCCAAGCAATATCGTCTCTTAAAAAATGTACATCCTCAACAACGTTCTAGGATTGCGCTCCTTAGAGATGAGGCAATTATGGAGTCGGCCAAAGAGATCTGGCAGATTCCAGCCTCGACTACACCAACGTCAAAGTGAGCCAATAGAAAGAACTTTGTGCCATCAAAAGGTTTAGAATTTCTGTTCACCCATCCCCAACCCAACTCCCTGGTGATGGATGCAGCCCTACAAAGAGCCAAGACCCCGCAGGTTGGAGGATCAGGAGCCGATAAAGATGCAAAGAAGCTTGACGTTTCGGTAGAAAAGTGTATTCTTCTTCCACACTTTTGCTCTTCATTGCGAATAACGCTGTGTACTTTTGAACCATAGTTTCGATAACTACGCAAAGTTAACCGATCTCGCACAATACCTGCCAGAGGCCAATAAGGCACTCTTGAGAGCTGTGGTTCAGTAGGGTTACGTATGTTCCAGGGCAGGACTTCAAATTGCCATGGATATGGCTGATACCGCAGCACGATCCATTGCCACCGCAATATCCATGAGAAGGGCGTCATGATTAGCAACAGAAGGAGTTCCTAAAAAACTGCAGAATAAAGTCGAGGATTTGCCCTTTGACAAACTTAAACTGTTTGTGGATAAGACAGATGAGGTCCTGCACATGGGAAAAGATTCTCGTACCTCCTTGCGGACACTTGGTATGTACACTCCTCCTTTCCAGCGCAAGGGGTATTATTCTTACCAAAGGAGATATGACTACCGATTTCATAGGCAACAGCAGTGCTCATTTGGTCAGGCGCGTCCTAAACAACAACCACAACGAAGGCGACCCCAACCACCACGTGCGACCAACCCACCTTCTTCAAAGTAGCAAGTCTGACTCCTTGGTCGAGGGCTCGCACGCACCAATCATTGTCATGACCACCGCCACCACCGCCTCCCCTTTTCACCATCGTCTGTGGCCCTTTTACCATCAATGGGACAAGATAGCGTCCAATAGATGGGTATTGGAGATCATACGATCAGGATTCATGATTCCCTTCACCTCCCTTCCTCCCACCAACCCCATCCCTCTTCAGGGACCCATCTCACAAAGAACTCTTACACCTCGAGGTGCATCGCCTTCTTATCATAGGGGCGATAGAGAGGGTCCCAAGTCAATTCAGAGGAAGAGGGTTCTATTCATGTTACTTCTAACGCAGAAGAAAGTGGGGGTTGGAAACCCATCCTCGATTTATACCGGTTGAATCGTTACCTTCGAAATCAGTGTTTCAAGATGGTGACACTTACCACGATAATCCCGTCTCTTGACCACAACAATTGGTTTGCAGCCCTTGACCTACAGGATGCTTATTTTCACATCACCATATACCCTGCGCACAGGCGATTCCTTCATTTTGTAATAGGCAACGAGCACTTCCAATATCGGGTGTTGCCCTTCGGTCTGGCATCAGCCCCAACGGTCTTTGCAAAAACCCTAGCTGTTGTTGCAGCGCACCTCTGCCGACTAAAGGTCATCTTCCCATATCTTGACAAATGCCTAATCAAGGGCACAACAAGGCAGGAGACCTCTCACATGGTGATATTAGTCAAGCAAACGTTTGAGACTCTGGACCTCATAGTGAACAAACAAAAGTCCACCCGCAACCCAACCCAAAGCATAAAGTTTATAGGAGCCATGCTCAACTCCCTCACCGCAAAGGCATACCTACCACTGGAAAGATTCCAGTCAATTCAAGATCCGGTACACATAGTCACTCAGGCTCCAACAATTTCAGTACACACTTGCCTGAGGCTGCTTGGCCATATGGCCACGACCACATTTGTTGTCCCTCACACACGTCTTCACTTATGGTGTCTACAACATTGGCTGGCAATCGTGTATACGCCCTCAAAGCACAGCATTCACAAAATAGTGGCTCCTCTAAATCATGTTTGCATATCCCTCCTCTGGAGGATGAAGTCAGGAAATCTTATGACGGGAGTTCCATTCCACCATCCACAACCATCCTTTCAGTTAACAATGGATGCTTCCCTCATCGGGTGGGGCACACACATGAGCAGAAAACGCATACAGGGCAAATGGTCGCTTTCCAAAAGGCATCTACATATAAACCTCCTGAAGCTGAGGGCCATCTTCCATGCATACAGACACTTTCACTCGCACATAAAGGGCACTCCCACCAGAGTGCTGATGGTATTACATCAGCTGTAATGTATTACATAAACAGACGAGGAGGAGCAAAGTCACGCTCCTTATGTGCAGAAGCGGTGCGTTTTTGGAATTGGTGCATAGAAAACGACATCCCCGTCACAGCGTCTTACTTGGCACCAGCAATGTCATCGCAGATGCTCTCAGCAGGAGACTTCCTATGGATCACGAATGGGAAATAAGGACGGATATTCTCCAACACATCTTTCGCATGTGGGGAACACCTGTGCTAGATCTGTTCGCCACTTCCAGCAACGCGAAGTGTCGCCTCTTTTGCTCCAGAGCAGGCATCAGCAAGGGTTCACTCGGGGATGCTCTTCTAATCAACTGGACAAAAGCACTCCTTTACGCTTTTCTCCCAACGGTCCTCATTCCCAGAACGTTGGAAAAAATCAAAGCAGAATTGGCAACTGTAATTCTCTTAGCTCCAGCTTGGTGGATATAGTCATGGTACCCATTCCTACACAACATGTCAGTAGCGCCACCTTGGCCACTTCCTCCCCTCCCAGATCTTCTCTCACAGGACCACGGTTCTCTCCTTCACCCCAAACCAGACTCCCTACACCTGACGGCATGGCTCCTAACTGGCTCAGGCCAGGAGAGGACCTCTGTTCAGATCAAGTCAAAATGATACTAATACACAGTAAAAAATCATCCACTCAGAGTACTTATCTTGCAAAATGGCGTAGATATTCGCAATCGTGCTCTCGCAGCAACATCGAGCCTCAGGGTGCTTCTCTACACCATATCCTTGACTACGTCGTCCACCTGCAGAGCTTGGAACTTTCTCTTTCATTTCTGAAAGTACATTTGGCAGCTATCAGTGCTTTTCATTGTCCCATTGAGGGAGTGTCGGTGTTTGCGCACCAAAGCACCAGAAGGTTTCTAAAAGGCCTAATGAACCTGCACCCTCCTCGTAGGCCACCATCACCCTCTTGGAATCTGGATCTGGTGCTCAACACCATCATGTACCCTCCTTTTGAATCGCTAGCTACCATACCATTACAAATGCTGACTATGAAAGTACTCTCTCTTCTTGCGATCACATCAGCACGCAGAGTCAGCGAGCTAGCAGCACTGATGGCAACTCCACCCTTTACCTTTTTCTCAAAGGATTAACTTTACTTTACGCTTTCACTCGGCATTTACTCCCAAGGTTTCTTCATCCTTCCATATTAACCAACCTATTATCCTTCCATCCTTTTATCCCAAGCCTCATTTGTGACAGAGAGACGCGTTACTACATATACTCGATGTACGCTGGGTGCTTTTCTTTTATATAGACAGAACTCAACAGTGGCACCACACAGACAGACTTCTAGTGTCAATTGCACAGCGCTCCAAAGGCAATGCACTCTAGCCAGCTTATAGCTAGACTTATAGGCATATGCATCACTACTTACCATTCGTTAAGGGATAAACCTCTTCTCACACAACCGAATGCACATTCTACTAGAGCGGTAGCAACTTCCATAGCCATCGCCTGAGGAGTCCCACTGAGTGATATTTGCCGAGCAGTCACCTGGGCTTCCAGCACCTCTTTCATGTGTCATTATGCCATAGTATGATGCCTAGCTGCAGACTCAGCAGTTGCATCTGCAGTGTTATTTGTTGCAGAAAATCGTTGATCCGGAGTGCACACTGACTACTTCTATACACTCACCTAGAGTGGAGTATCCATGGGGACCACTCGAAGAAGAAGAAGAAGAAGAAGTTACTCACATTGGTGCAGTAACGATAGTTCTTCGAGAGGTGTCCCTGTGGGTGTGCCACGTCCCGCCCTCCTCCCCGCTTCGGGGTTTGTTTATGCCTTGTTTCAGATACTGAGCAGTGAGAGGAACTGGTGGGAGCCAGACTGCATGACAGTAGAAAGGCGCGAACAGCGCGAGACGCTAACCACGCATGTGTGGTCCGGCTGACTACGGCTGTAAAATCCTCTAACCAGCGGTGCCAGGACGAGCACGACACCTAGAATGGAGCACCCACAGGGACACATCTCGAAGAACCATTGTTACTGCACCAAGATGAATAACTTCTTCTTATAACAGGATAACAGCTATAGTATAATAATACTGGTTTCAGCAAACTAATGCACATATGTAACCATGAGCATGGCGACATGCATTGTCCCCTATTAGCTTATCAAGATGTTAGGATTGTAACATGACTTTAGCATCAGATGTGCACACTCCTCAGCTCCACCATTCTCTATGAAAGTTTATCCATCCATTTGAATTACGTTTCCTCTGTTGCATTCCCAACAGATGTGGTGCCAAAAATCTGGCTAGTTAGCAGAGCAGCACTGATAATTTTTTTGTTTCCAAAGCACATTATCACATCTGTGTCTTTAAAACTAATCAATTAGCCCCTCCCCCCAGATGTACTCTAGAATTTGTTTTGTCATCAGCTAAGGTTGCTAACTATAATAGGGTATGTCTACACTACCCCGCTAGTTCGAACTAGCGGGGATAATGTAGTCATCCGCAGTTGCAAATGAAGCTCGGGATTTGAATTTCCCGGGCTTCATTTGAATGAAGCCGGCCGGCGCCATTTTTAAATGCCGGCTAGTTCGAACCCCGTGCCGCGCGCTACACACGGCACGGAGTATCTAGTTCGGATTAGGCTTCTAATCCGAACTAGCTGTACTCCTTGTGGAACGAGGAACGAGGATTAGGAAGCCTAATCCGAACTAGCTACTCCGTGCCGTGTGTAGCCGCGCGGCACGGGGTTCGAACTAGCCGGCATTTAAAAATGGCGCCGGCCGGCTTCATTCAAATGAAGCCCGGGAAATTCAAATCCCGAGCTTCATTTGCAACTGCGGATGACTACATTATCCCCGCTAGTTCGAACTAGCGGGGTAGTGTAGACATACCCTATTATAGTTAGCAACCTTAGCTGATGACAAAACAAATTCTAGAGTACATCTGGGGGGAGGGGCTAATTGATTAGTTTTAGTCAATTTTATATGGGTTAAAATAAGGAATTTAAGAGACTTTGAAAGGATGTTTCCATTAATAACAAACTGGAAAATACAACAGAAATTTCACTTATGTAAACATGAAACGAAAACTTATGTATTAAAATGTATAAAGTTTATTTAATGCAATCTGTCAGATAATTCTTGCCAATTCCTTTGCACAAGGCTGTATAAAAATAAACAAAAATGCTGAAGAGCTGTGAGAAGGGAAGTGAATTACTAATAATGATTTTATACCAGCATATTCCATTTCTTTGTCTTGCACCTTAGAACAAAAATTCTAATAAAGTTCCTACAGTGATAAGAACTTGTACATCCATACTTTTCTAATCACAGTCAGATTCTGATGCTCTGCAGTCACTCCCTTCCTAGGTTGCAAAGTACCAGCTGTCCCCATGCCAACCTAGTAGGTTTCCTCTTACAGCATCCATATTGTAAGAAGAGATCTTCCAAAAAACTTCTTCCGAAAGAGAATGTCCATACACAAAAGTGAATAAAAAAGCGATCTTCTTTTTCAAAAGAGAGCATCCAGACTGAATGGACGCTCTCTTGCATGTAAGCTGCGATTGCTATGGACGGAATGGCCACCAGGGCACCTGTACTTTTTCCGCTTTCCTCTTCTTCTGAAAGAACTCTCTCTTCCCCATCCGCACATGCCTTTTGCAAAAAGGCTTCTGCCTCATAGAATGAGGTTTACCAATGCCCGTCCGTTTTTTTGATTTTCTTGCGGAAGAACACAATTGCAGTGTGGACATTCCTCAAGTTTTGTCAGAAAAATGGCTATTTTCCCAACAAAACTCTATAGTGTAGACATTAGTGGCCAGCTGTAAGCACTGCTAGTTGGGCTGGTGGACTTTGTCAGCAGTGAGTATTTACCTCAGAAATGTGCTTTCTTTGCTGCTTCGTACAAGTAGCATTACTACTTAACTATGACTAGTTATTCCATCTTTCTCCACTAATACCAAACTAGTAAGTTATAGGCAGTACTATAGGCTAGCTGTATCTGGTTTACCGATGCCTATTTTGTGTTGGGGCTCAATCATTAACAATAGCACAGCTGATATGCTACCACTAGGTGAATTTGTGTAACTTTAGTAAGTTGTTTAATATGAAGCTGAAACTAAGCACAAAGATACTACAGTGACAGTTCCTCCAAAATAAGTAATAATGAATAAAAATAGCATTAAGGTCCATAGCTGAAAAATTAGTTAGACATCAAGGATGGGCTTCGGAAAGAGGTACCATGACACTCATCATCACATTGCCTAACTTTTAGATGCTCAGAAAATCCAGGATTTCCAATGGCTTCATAAAGCCAAGTTAGGCCCTTAGACTCCCTATGCAAAAGAAACAGGGAGAGACAAGCCTAACAATGTGCTCCACAAAAGCCAAACAGAGCGCTCCCTAAATTATCCAATGGGCAAGAGGTGTGATTAGCAAACTATAAACAGGTACGTGTCAGCAGGAGTGCAGTTGCTTAGCTGCCTATGGAGTTTCTTGTGGGCCTGTGTTAGGGCACCTGCCTCCCACCACACAAAACAGCCAGAAGAGGAGGTGGTACCCACCTGTTAATCTTCACCCTAGCAGTTCAAGCACTTGCTTTGCATGTGCAGAACTCAAAGGTTCAATTTCCCCCCAGCTGTACCAGGGATTTAAAGAGTCATCCACATGTCAAGAAAGGTGTCTCATCACTGAGTTTATGATGTGTGGCTTCTGTAGTCTCTTCTGTCGAAGCTGTTCTGCTGTGAATAATGAACAATTGATCAGAACAGGGACCATGTAGCCAGAGCCTCTTGCCTACCGTGGGGATGCCCTAACTCCTGGGCTATGAAGTCATTCTCTTGCACTTTCTCTTGCTGCCCTAATGACTATGAAGTGGTTCTTCTTGGTGGACCAGTTATTGGGCCAAAGAGTGTGACAACGTGTCTTTAATGCTGTGGTTAGTGCACCCACCTGCAGGTGGGCATCTTCCTACTCCAGCCGTGGCCAACCCGCAGCTCATGAGCTGTATGTGGCTCGTGCCTCTCAAAAGTGCAGCTCGCAAAGCCGCTCCTGTCCCCCCAAACTGCCCCCGCTGGCTCCCCTCCAGCCCCTGGCTTCTCTGTGCTTACCAGGTCAGAGGGGAGCTGGCGGGGACAGTTTTGGGGGGGGGAGCAGCTTCATGAGCTGCACTTTTGGGAGGCAAGAGCTGCATGCGCCCAAGATGGTGGCTGTCTTAAAGAGGCAACCTCCTTACAAAAATTTTTTTTTTAATTTTTTTGTTTTTGCTTGACAATTCTGGTGAAGCTCTTATTTTTTCCGCCGTTGTTTTGGCTTTCTTTGTTTAATGGGTTGGCCACCCCGTCCTACTCTTTCATTATTTAGTCAAAGTGGAACAGTTCACCAGAAGAGCTTATGGGCATCCCACTGCCCAGTGAGCATACCTGACACATGGGTAGGATTGCCAGCTTTCTAATAGCACAGAACCAAACACTCCTGCCTCTCCCCATGCCCTGCTGAGGCCTTGGTCAATGCTCACTCCATCCCCCTCCCTCCATCATTTGCTCTCCCCATGCTCACTCACTTTCAAAGGGCTGGAGTTTGGGGCATAGGGAGGCATGCGGGCTCTGGCTGGGGACAGAAATGAAGGGTTCAGCATGTAGGAGAGGGTGCCAGGATGTCAGGATGTTGGCTATGTGTATGGAAGGGGAGGGCTCTGGCAGGGGAGAGGAGTACAGAGATGTGGCTAGGGATGAGGTTTGAGATGTAGGAGGTTCTGGGTGGGGTCAGGAGTGCAGAGGGGATGAGGGCTCCATCTGGGAGGGCAGGTTCTTGGGTACGGCTGGGGATGAGTTTTGTGTGCACAAGGGGGGCTCACAGCTGGGGAGTAGGTTGGCATGTGGGAGTGGTTGCTGAATCCTGGTGACATTTATTGTGGCTGTCAGGAAGTGGCTGCTGGGTTCTTGTTGCCTCTGGGGGGCAGCCAGGAAGGTTCTATATGCTGCCCTCACATCTGCAGCATTGCTCCACAGCTTCCATTAGTTGTGGTCACCAATGGTCGAAAACCAGATGCCTGGCAACCCTAGATGTGGGACACTTTAAGGAGAGGAGGGTGGGACTTGAACATATGTCTCCCCTTCCCCAGTGAGTGTACTAATGGCTGGGCTAACAATAAAGGCATTCAGGTTTAGAAAGCAAACAGATCTGATGTGTGTGCTTGGAACATGCCCTCCACATGTCTGTCATGCCCTGTTTCATGAATCACTCTGGGGTGTAGGCAGGAGACATGTGTCTGAACATTTAGAAGGAAGCAGCAGTGCTCATGCACACAGGCAGAGGAACCTAAGGAATTTTTATTCTAGAAAACTTATGTACTGAGAGCATCTAGATGCCTACAAGGTTTGGTGGGAGTTGTCTAGCTCCCAGTGCCAGCATTTAGGTGCCTGAGTATTTTCATGGATCTGTCCTCTAAGTCCTATTGACATCAGTGGGAATTAGGTACCTAAATATCCATAAGGCTCTGTTCCTAAAACCCTATAAAGCCATTAAGTCCCAAATAGTTTATTATGGAGGCTCTACACAGGCTAAGGGGTCTGCATTTAGGTGACTTGAGAGTTTCAAGAAGAGGAACTTTGTCTACCTATCAAATAGCATAATATATTTGAGAAAGGTGAAACCATCATTAAGATTTTTTTCTTTTAAAGTGCAGTTGGCCTGTAGTCAAGAGGAAAGCAAATTTCCCATTTCTAATTATTATCACACTGTAAAAGTTAAAAAAGGCTTTCAAATGAGTATCCTGGTCCATGCAGTACAAAGAGCTATGGCTGGAGTTGGATGTGCTAATATATTTCACTTTTGTATAATTAACAACTCAGATGACAAAAAGTGTTAGAAATCAGTAATCTTAGAAATTTCACATTAATGTTTGTGATTTTTTTTATGAATCCCAGTAATAAGCAAATCTACACATGCTTTGCCTATCCAGAAATAAAGGATTTTTATCAGTTAAACACAGTTATCACAGTTGTACAAGGTTCATACAAAGAACATAGCTTTCATGGTTTGTGTTTTTGCAAGAACAAAATTGCATAGCGCATTTGCTGGCACTACCTGAATTTGCCAAACAATGCTTTCCTCTTATCAAATAGCTAAAGTATCTTCTTAAACTAAATTTCACACACTAATGCAGTTTGTGTTACTAGCGAATGTTTACATGTATTAAGAGAAAAAAAACATAGAGCTAGGCAATATTAACAATTACACAACTGACTGACTGAATAGCAGGTCAATGATGAAAATAAATCCTTTTGATTTTTTTTAACTTACTATATGGCTAACTTCTAAATGTCATTACCAGAACATTTCTTTTGGTTCAAACACTTCTGTTGAAGTTAAAATTTTAATTGTGCTCTTTTGCTTTTTTCCATACAATCTAGAATTCAGAATGTAAATTTGTTTCCTAGATTATTGTGATTGCTTTAAAAATCCTGGAAATCCTGCTATTGTTACTGCTTTGTTACAAACCAATATAAGAGAATAGCTAGAGAAAATGTGGCATATGCAGGTGCTTTATTGACAGACATGACTGTATTCCTGGCAAGTTGAATAGTGACCAGCTGCTGACAAGTAAAGCTTTCCATCTGGACAAACACAGATCTCATAGAGTTCCTGAGACCAATCAGATCCGCCCCTTGTCCCTTCAGGCAGTTTGGGTAGTCGCACGGTTTCAGCATCAAGCAAAAGCTGTATGGAAGAAAGCATGACAAATGGGTTTGTTAGAAGTAGGAGTAAATGGGTTACTTAGGCAATTAAAGACCCATATTCAAAACTCACTTAAGGACTTAGACCAAGATCCTCAAAGCTATTTAGGAATATAAAATCCTATTGACATCAGTGGGAGTTAGGCACTAAGGATGTGTCTAGACTGCAGGCTATTTTCAAAAAGTGGCCTTTTTTCGAAAAAAACTTCCCCTGCGTCTAGACTGCTGCCACGTTTTGTCGACAGTAAATCGAAAGAACGTGACTGTTTTGTTGACAGCGGTAAACCTTGTTTTATGAGATGCATTTTTTTGAAAAAAGCTTCTTTTGAAAAAAGCGTGTAGTCTAGACATAGCTGCAGATGCACAAAGGTACTTAGACACTTAAATCCGGCATTAGGTGCCTAAGTCAAAAAGTTTTAGGTTCTGCTGCAATTCTCTGAACCCTGTATACACCTAACCTCAGGGGATGCTGAAGCATCTATGTTTCTGTCTCTGGGCATGTGTACTATTGCTTTACTCTAGGCCTCCAGGCACCTGTCTTCTGACCAGTCTCCAGAGAGCAATTCACAAACCAGGGAAGATAATTTGCCCACCTAACTCACCTGTGGGGCCCAACTGGGTAGGCCCCACATGAGTCTCTCAGGTAAATTCACACAAAACAGCAGGCTGGGGAGTCGGGGAAAGGAAGAGGGCTACTCGTAACTTTTAGCTCAGAGATTAGGTTTCTCACCTGTTATGTGGGAGAGGCTCAATCCCACTCCCCTTTCTACCTAATGAAAAGAAGGAATTTAAATAGTGATCAGCCACATTTCAGGCAAATACTCTCATCACTGGGCTCTGGGATATTCTGATATGGTGTTTTCTCAATCTCTCCTGTTTACTTCACTGTGATAACTAGTTAAAGTGTTATTGAGTGAGGAGAACTGAGCAAGAGCAAAAACACAGGTCTAAGAGTTACTCTATAGGCTGGTGGTTAAATCAGAGATCCTTGCCTGTGAAAATGAATCGCTACCAGAGACTTTGGATGCAGACAGGAGACTGAACTGAAGCACTGTGTATTGAAAATGCTTTTGTTCCAGAGTGACATGTAGCAACATTCTGTTATATAGAAGCAAGGGTATGTCTACACTACAGCGTTATTTCAAAATATCTAATTTCAAAATAGACACAAAAATTTTGCTAGACACAAAATGCATTTCGAAATAGCACATCCACACTGATAGGACGCTGAATCGCATTTAAGGCCGGCCGGAACTGGTTCTGGCAGGGCATCAGGTCAGGAGTTACCTTGTGTGGCTGCTGCGTGAGGCTATCTGAGACCTGCGCTTAAAGAGACCCCCTGTGCCCCGGACAGCGGATGCTAAGGTTTCCCTGCTTGCTTGCCTATCTCACTGAGGGACAGCAAAGCATTTTTTCTCTGCGTGCTCTGGTTGCCCTCACTCAGGACTCCACAGCTCTCTGCAGCATGGAGCCGGAGCCGCCCCGGGCCCTCTCGTGCTTCTCCTGGACGTGTTGCTGCGAGCCTGGCAGCATGTTCTCCAGGCAGTAACAGTCTCTCTGGTGTACCCCACTGGGGGATTGTGCTTCACTCCTTCCTCACATCCTTCCTCTTACCCCTCCCCGACCCCCCTTCCTGCTGTACAACAAAAGACACACGTGTTCATTACAACAAAGCCTCTTTATTGAACAAAACTGGGGAGGGGAGGAAAATGAAACTGAGGTGAGACTGGGGAAAGAAGGTGGGAGGGAGAGGAGGGAAGGTGAGATGGGGAGGGGGAAATGTGGGAGGAAAGAACTGGCAGGGGGAGGCAAGGGGAGGAAGGGGAAGGAGAAGCTCAGGGTTGTGGGTCTCACCAGTCCAACTGTCTCCCTGGACCGTGGGTGAGGGGGCCTCAGCGTCCTTGGGGGTTTGGGGAGGGTGGGGAGGAAGAAGCAGGAGGGGGAGAAGGAGTGGGAGGAGGAGCGGAAGCTGGGGAGGCAGCAGGGGCGGGAGCAGCAGGAGGCAGCAAGCTCTGCCCCAGGATTGATGCCCACCTGGGGGGCACAGACTGTCCTGCCCCCGAGGATGCGATCCACAGTATCAAAATAGGGGTAGGGGTCTGGGTCTGCCCCTGGTTGGGAGCTGCCCCCTGTGGCCCTGGCGTATGCCTACCACAGCTCCTTTATTTTCATGCAAACCTGCTCCTGGGTTCACATGTGGCCTTTGGTGGCCAGGCTGACAGCCATCTGCCTGTAGATGGTTGCATTCCTCCGTTTAGTGCGGAGATCATGGATGTTGGAGGCATCCCCCCCAAACCTGAATTAGGTCCCTGATCTCCGCACTG